GACTAATAGACTTCTCCACATCATGAACTCAGGGGGCTCTGCAAGGAGGAGGTGTAAGTCCCCTGTTCTTCATTTCCTCATTTTTACCTGACTTTTGCATTTTTAGCAGTGCTTAGTGATCCCATTTAATTAAAGCTGTGTTGTGCCAGGAATTACATAGATGTATGCAAGGAGAACCCTTGTCCTGACAAGTCTAGTTAATTTTCTGCAGCCCGTGCACAGTACTGATCTCCAGCACCCCTCTGGGGAAGCAGATTGGAAAGGGGCTGAAGATCAGAAGGCAAGCAAGCAATTCCTCTTACTACTAGCACGATGTAAAGCTTAAGTAAAATTAGAACAAATTAGTCTGGAAAAAGAACCTTTCAGTTGATGTCAAAATATAACAAGCTGAGTTAAAACTCTTCTGGATCTTTCAAATGTTGTCACAGAACAACTTTGACCTTGACTGTGTGAGGAATCAAAATTGTATTCTTTCTAATTTAGCATCCTAAAAGAAAACCTGAGGATATATTGAAGTTCCTTCGCTTCTGATTTTGGTTGGCCAGACATTATCCAGCTCTAGTCTGGAAGCCCATGGTAGCCATGTAGGCTGTGGTTCTGTCTGAGAGAAGCCCCCGGCTGTTGCATTGCCGTTAATCCAGTTGTGCACCTGTAGTATCAGTGTTGGTTTGCCCCCGTCCATCTTGAAGCATAGGAATCCTCATTACACTTGTCTCTTCCGTGTGTAGACTTGTCTGTAGAAGTCAGGCATGCTTCCTCTGAAGTTAATGAAAATCTTTCCATGGACACTTACGTTGCTTGGAACACACTCTGAAAACTTGCAAGTGTGCATTTGCATGTTGCCACCCACACTTAGGAAGTGGGTCAGGAGAGGGAACACTCAGATAATAAGTTTCAGTTTATAAAAAATTAAGCAGTTTGTATTCCGTTAATTTTTTTATATATATAATCCCATTTAAGATGGCAAACAAATCTTTTGAGCCTGATGGCAGGATGTTGTCTTGCCTGTCAAGATTTTAAGTTCCCCTTTGTACACATTATGTTCCATTGAACCAGTGGGATTACCTTCAAAGGGAAGCGTTACAAAGGTTTGGCTATGAAATCAGCTGTAATGATATGAAGCATGCTGCTTTGCTATTGCACAACAATAAAATGCATAGGCCTGTTTGTAGGGTGGCTCTAATGCCATGGTATATAGTAAAGTTTCTTTCTTTTTTCCTCCTACATAAAATTCTACGTACTTAATAGGTATTTGTTATTATACATTGTCCTGGTTTCAGCTGAAACCAGGACATACATGGGGATTTTTGACCTCTCTTTTAGAAATTCCATTATAAGGAAATATTTTTTACTTCCTCTATGTATACATAATGATATATAATTCATATTATGTGAATGCATCATAAAGTTGTGAAGTCTCACAGAATTTCCAATTAAGTGCAGAGAAGCCATGGGAGCCATTCCTCGCCTGGCACAGACTGATTTCTAGCAGTAGAAACCATGGGTCTGACCCAGCATAAGTAGTCACAGGTAGGACTTCCCAATGCTGAATGAGAAATGCTGAGCAGTAGTGCCAGCTATCCTGTTTTTGTCCTTACTAAAAAACAAATATGCTTCCAGCTGGACTTTGTGCCACTTATCACAACTGTTAGGGCCCTGCAGTTCAGCCGGTTTCAGTCCCACCTCGCTGCCCGTTTGTGTAGCCAGTACCTCATCTGTTTGTCTAGGAGGCTGTGGTGGGAGGAAGTGCTGAAAGCCTTACTCAGGTCAAGGTAAACAACATCCACTGCTCTTCCCTTGTTTACTGGCCTTTGCATTCCAGCCCAGTTCTTCCTGGTTGGTATGTATGAGGTCCAGCAGAGTGTCTCCCCTAATTGGCTTCTTGTCATCAAGAAGGCACTCCAGAAACCTCCAGGCTTCTGCCCTTCCAGCAAGTGTCAGGAGTGAGTCCCCCATGCATACCAGGGCCTGTGAGCATCAGGCTGCTTCCAGTAGTCGGAGGAAAACCACCTTGTGACAGGTGACTTCAGCTCTCAGAATATAACTTGATCTAATGTCGCAAACAGGCACAGAGCTGTCTGTTACAGCATGGTACTTGATTGCTTTTGAGAAGGGTTTGTTCTAGAGCCCCCAAAAGGTTGTTTTCTATTTAGGTTTAAACAACAGATAGGAAATAGTTCAAGATAATAACTAGTTGAACCACTAAGTAAAAGTGACTATAATGTAATTACATTTGCAGCATACCTTACTTAGGTCCTTAAGTAAAATCCAAGGACAAACTTTAAGTCACAAAACCACTTAGGAACTTTCATGGTAGAAGTTCAGCTCATAATAAATGATTCAGCTTTGAGGCACATCTCAGACACTTGCCATCCTTTTCCTTCTTCCCCCTGCCTCCACAGATGGAGAGAGAAAATGGAAGAGAAAGTGCACTGGAAAGGATGAGGAGAAAAAAATGTGAATTCTAGAGAAAATGGAAGTCCCTTTTTAATTGCATAGCAGAGACTAGCGTACAGTTCCCAGTCTAATGTGCAGGTCTTTGTTACGCTTGCTGGTTTTTGTCGTAGCTTTTGTGGCTTTGTGCTCAGATACGATAGCACGGCATTACTCTATTACTGTCTGGCCTGCTATTTATTACCAGGACAAGGAGTGCATTGTGAACAGGGCTCTTAATTTTCTTTTTACTCATTTCCTATTGCTGTGCTGGTGTTGGACAGGATTATGCTTAAATTTGGTGAGACTGGGAAATACAAGATATTCTTTGGCAGACTGACATATCTGTATGTCAGTGGTATACTTTTTTTTTTTAGCTTCCACTGCCAACACTTGTATTGGAAAAATAGAATTTAAACCTGTGCTTCCAAAAGCAAAGGGTACACTGAGGCTTTTGGCTTTTTCCATCCTTTTTTTTTTTCTTTTTTTTTTCTCCTCCCCCCTCCTGAAGCCGATTGACGTTGTTCCTATGTCTGAGACTTGTTTAGCTGGCAGCTCTGCTCTGTCTCATGTGCTAGGATGGTTCTTCCCCTGACCTTGCAGAGCCCTGCTGTCTGGTTGCAGTTGGTTGTCACAGAATGGTAGAATAGTTTGGGTCTAGAATAGTCATGTCTGCTGGCTTGCATTGTCATTGGTGGCACAAACCCCATTCCCACAAAGTCAGCGCCAGGGTTGGGATGTTGCTGTCTTCTTCTTAACTGAGAGTTGCCCAAAGCATCAGCTGTGATGAATTACTTGTGGCTGGTCCTAACACACTGAGGTGTTCAGTGCAATCAAACTCTGGACCCAAAAGGACCCTGGCAGGGCTTTGCTGGGATTTACTTGGGAGCTGGGTGCTGTTCCTGCAGTCCTTGCTTTGCTCTTCTTGCAGGCTTGTCCTGTGCTAGGTGCATCCTGAAAAGCATGTCTGAGTGCCATGAAAAAATCCGTTCTGGGTTCTGCTGTGGTAGTAGAGGCTTTCTGACCTGTGGTCTTGGGTGATTAGATGCGAAATATGGTTGTTGATGTTGAGTTCAATACACTAGCTGGTGAAAGCAGCTGACTTCAGCAGGCTGTTAAGAGATGTGCTGTGTTGTGGAGCATACACCCGGAGAACGGGAGCATGCACACGCTGCAGAGCAGCCATGGCTGTGCATGGGGTGCTCCCATTGCCTTCCCCGGCTGGTGACTGTGTGTGGGCTGAGCGTCTCTTGATGAGAGCCCCAGCGCCCTGTGCTGTGAAGTGAAGGCAGGGGACCTGACGCTCCTGAAGAAGCAGCATTGGAAAGTGCCCTGCTGTAAAAGCTTCTGCCTTCTAACTCGAACCACAGCGTGACCATTAGGTTACCCCCAGTAGACTGACATTGTTTCTGCTTTTAGAGTAAGTCTGAGCAGTGCAGTGCTGCAGACTTTGCTCTTGGCATTCCTACCCTCCTTGCCTAAGTCAAGGCAGCCTTTGAATCAAGGGGGTTAGCAAGACACTCTGTTTCGGAGTAATGGCAGGAAAAAGACGGGCTTAAGGATGTTAGAGGGCTTTGGCCTTTGTTACACTTGCTTATATTTAGTGTCATGCTGGTAACTTGCCATGGAAGAGGCACAGAGTTGCCTATCTCTGCTCTGGCACCTCCTCCCCCTCCTTTCTTTACTGACAGTGATGTCTGTGTAGTTGTTTCTCTCACATCTCACTCCTCTCTCTGCTGCAGGTTTTCAGCAGTCTTTTTTTTTTTTTTTTCTTCTCCTAAATATGTTATCACAGAGGCAGATCCACCATCGCTGATGGGCTTGGCCTTGGGTCTGACATGGAGCTGGGGAAGCTTCCAGAAGCTTCTCACAGGAGCCACCCTGTAGTCGGTCTCCCCGCTGCCAAAATCCCACCACACAAACCCAGCACGCTAAATTAGACAAAGTATGTAGGTCCAAGGAAGAGGGGCATCCATCCCGAATAAACTTGCCCTACAGATGCAGTACTGTTCCTTGCTTCTTGAAATACTGGAGCAGTGGCATCTGGAAGTGTTTTTTGAAGCTCTGTCTGCTTTCAAGTTGTGTTTATTATTTTTATAGAACTGAAATAAAAAGAATCCTTTTGAAGTACTCTGATTTCCTTTAAGGCTAGAACTCACACAGTTGAGTCCTAGACTTCATTCATTTATTTCCTGTGTTGTGCTTCCAGGCTGGTACTATGAAATAGATCTATTTCTATTTCGCTGAGTTGAAGTGTAATGTGTTAACATGTGAATGTGTGTCAACAGATCAATTAAGAAAGGACAAATTATTTTATGAAACTGGTTGTTAATATGGAAACAAAAAACAAACCTGGAAGAATTTTGCTGTTTACAGCCTGTACAAAGGATTCTGAATCATTGAGTTATTGTACTCAATAATTTCTAAAATGTTCATGACTTTTGGAACTTGGCTTGTGAAGTAACACAGGCATCAGCAACTGTTTTTCCTAAGCAATGCTTATTTAATATTTTTCTGTGGTTTACGTGTGCTTCTACAGTGCTCAGTATAAATTTTCACTTTAACAGGATCTCCAAACTTGGGTGAATGGTGCTAACGAAAATGGCTTTGTCCTCGTCTCATTTGGAGCTGGAGTGAAATACCTGTCAGAAGATATAGCAAATAAGTTAGCACATGCTCTGGCAAGACTGCCTCAGAGAGTTATTTGGAGGTAAGTGCAATGATAGAAGTGCTCGGGGTGATTTGAAGTCTGCTCACTTCCGATTCTGCCCGAGCTGCAGAAGATGAAACTCAGGCAGGCTGGGTGGCACAGAGGACCTGACTCTTTTGAAAGATGCTCTTAGTGGAAATGTTGGAGTCCCCTGGTAATAAGGAGGAGTGATGATTTTGTGGCAGAATATAGGTTATACTCCTATACTGAGTTTATATCCTAGAAGACTTGAGGACAGTGAAAACGGTCTGAGGTTATGGCGTTTTTGACATACTGTCATAATTTCTGATAAAGAAGCCACCATAGGGAGCAAGAATGACATCCTGCTGATTTAATCATAGGTTTTCTCTCTTCCTTCTTTCTTCTTTTTCCTCTCTGTTTTGGGCCCTTTCTCCTCTTCTATATGTAAACATAGGCTTTTGTAGTTGCTCTTACTTGCCTTTATCTGTGAGAAATTGGAGGAAGAAAAATCTGCAGGAGTAAAAACCAGTAATAAGCTTTCTTGGCTTTAAAAACATCCTTGAGTGGCTCTCTAAACTTAGTGTAAAAGTCTAAGAACTGTTTAGTCAGCTCTGCTTCACATGTAGCATTGCTCTGGAATAGAATTCAGAGGATTTCATGTGAACCATTGGTTTCCAAATAATCAGTGTCTTACAATTGATGACTGCTGTCCTTGCTGCACTTCTGGAGTTCTATAAGCAGTCTATTTAGCAAGCCATTGCCTGCCATCTCTTGGGGACCCTTTTCACTGCTGTGTGTAATTGAAATAGTGAACCCCACTAAGGAATAGGAGAATGGAAATTCTTCAGGCCATAGCACAGAACCTTTGGTAGTTACAGTAAAGATCTCATCAGTTTTTGTTTGGGGTGGGTGGAGTCACTATTATGTTGGTTTCTTATGAAACCTGCAACACTGCTTGGCTTGTAATTAATTAGTAGTCCCGATTGATGTTACTGCTTTTCTTTTGCTTTATCTTTTTTATCATGTTTTCCCTGGAATGTTTTTCTCCACTTTCTGTAGTAAAAAAATCAATTTTAATGGATTTTTCTCAAGGATAACTTCTTTAATGCAAAAGCAACAATTTCAGTTGAAGCCTTCTGTTAAAATTTTTAATTTTCTTCGTTAGTATTTCCTTACCAGTGCTTTTTTGTTATTTTTTGTTGTTGTTGTTCTGGTTTTGTTATCTGCTGATCTGCTTTTTGGATAAGGGAGCCCACCTGCTGTTTCTTTCCATCATGGTTTGTGGAATGGGTAAATGTCCCTGGGACTAGGTGTAAGACGTTGTCTTTGGGAGAGCTGAGCTTTCAGTCACCCCCGTGGGAATTTGAATTCCATATTTAAATAGCTAAATATGAAATCATGAGTCCAACTTTACTTTGATTTTTTTTTTTGTTGTTCTTTAGATCATTGACCTATGGTCTGTGTTGGACGCAAGTGGTTTTTTTACTAGACATTTCTGAAAATGGGAAAGGTAGTGCTGCTCGGCAGTCTTATGTCACAATGCCAAATCAAGGAAACCTTTGTAGTTCTTTCTGTACTGCTGATCATGCAGTACTAGTTAGAGCCAAAACCAGTGACTTAGTTTGTTTGCTTTTTTATAATTTGTCATGAGTAACATAATGTCTTTCAACATACAGAATGTGTAAGCCAGTTGTAAAGATCTATGACTTGCTTAATTGGGAACGCGTAGGTGATTCTTTATGTAGTTTTAGTTCTAATAGTTTCTAGTAAACATAATATTTTCAAGTTGTCCAATGGAGCTGTCATAAAACAGCTCTATCTGGTAGTATTCACGGTTCATTTTTTCAATCTTTCCTTTCTGTTTAGAATATATTTAGCTTTCTATATTAACTGCATGTAACATTAATATGTAAATCAGTTTGTACTTTAAGCCCATATTTTGTGGGATAAACTTTTCCAGCAACCTCAGGTGAGCTGAACATTGACATTGGGTTTCGGGCAGTTGAGCGAGTAAGAAAAATACACCTGTCTCACAGCCTGATCCCAACCTTTTCATCAGTAGCTGATGAAACTGGGTGACAACTGAGCGGTCACCCTTTCCCTTCCTGGTGTTAGTAGCTCCTTTTAATATAAGATGGTGTCAATTATCAAAAGCTACAAGGAAACTGGCAAATTGAAAGGAAATGCCTCTGGATGATGGTGGGGCTTGGATGGGATGTTCTTGGTGGAGTTGTTAGTCTAGTACCAGCCAGAGTTTCAGTCAAGCAAAGGATTCAGAGCCATGGAGAGGTTATTAAACCTCCTGCCCTCACAGTGGCAAGAGTTATATATGCTTTGAGAAGTAACCCTGTTGCCACTACGTTAACAAAAATATTGCATTTCAGGCCAGACTGTGAGGAAATGGAATTGTGAAAAACATTTTGAAGTTATTAGCTATTTATAGCATTTTGGTTGAGACTATTTTGTTTTCTTGTAATGGTGAGTAAGCAGTATCCCTGTGTAACTGGAAATCTGTTTAAGTCTCGGGGATCATTTGGTTTGATTCTCTGTTTTGAGTTTTGGCATCAATTTGATTTTGTTGGTTTAGGTTTTCAGGAAACAAACCAAGGAATTTAGGCAACAACACGAAGCTTATAGAATGGTTACCACAAAACGACTTGCTTGGTGAGTGTCTGTTGTGATGATATATTGCTTAGTCTCATGCACGTTCAGGTTGCTCTTCCAACAATATTCTGCTGAATTAAGTGTCATAAATCTAGAGTAATTTCTTTAATGGAGATTATATAATATAGAATTTGTCAGAATTTCAAGATGATTAAATCAAACACCTTTCTGGTGTTAATTGTCTTTCCCTGGTACTAACTTTGTTTTTTCCTTAAGTGGATGGAAGGACATAGTTATTTCCAAGACTATTTGGCCTAATAAATGGGAAGACTTCTCAACAGTCTTCTGTACCACTATGCAATTCAAGAAAAATTACTAAAGATAAATAAGTACGAATTTTCTAGAGTCTGCTGTTTTAGGAAACTGGTGACTGTAACTGTTAATATGGTGTTCACTGGTCTCTTCGTGGAAGAGTCATAAAACCGAAGATACAAAATCTATTCATGTTGCACCAAAACAAGTTTTAAGGGTGTGTACATACTTCTGTGTATGTACGTATTTTATTTATTTAATTTTTCTCCGAGGAAAGATCTAACAGAAATTGGGCACATGTTGCTTGGTGGTAACAACCTTTCTGTTTAGCTGAGGTACTCTGGGTTCTCAGGTGCAGAGATGAAATTTCATATTCTTCCATTTTTTGGTAAAGATTATGTTAAAGTTTGTCTATTTTTCTTTTTTTCCTTTCCTTCCCTGTCGAAGTGTAGCTGAATACAGTACAGATCTGAGGGACCACAGGATATTTATGGTTGTCTCTGGGATACCTGCATGTTTGTGTGTTTGCAAAACAGCTCCAGTGTTACGATGGGTGCTGATGAATGCGTTAAACATGTACATGTGTCAGTGTGTGTGCGTGTCAGCTGGATTATTGATCACAATGTAGTGATTAGGCAAATGAATTGTAAACCAGGTAGATTTGTTTTGGTTACTAAGTTGCTCTGAGGCAGTCTCATTTTTTCCATCACGTAAAGTGTTAGTAAATTGTTATGGTCAAATTTGGCTATCCCTAAGTAAGGCTTAGGCAACACCAGTTGTCTTGTCATTAAATAGCTTGTATTTTGTATGAAAAATGAGGAAAACCAATCTCTCGCTGGTTCACCTGTACTGTAGTCACCACCTGCAGCTACTCCAGAGCAAACAGTGTATTAATTACTCCATTAATAGTTTTGCACAACTCAGGTACATGAGAATTTTCTCTGCCATTCTCTCTCTTAGTGTATAAGGAAGTAATCTAATGTGTGTGAAATGTCAGGACAGTGGGTTTAAGGAGGAGAACTTCAGAACAAGTCGCATTCATTTTACCTTCCTGAATCTCAGCCATAGAAAGGTGGTAGCAAATGTGTTGTACCCAGTTACCTCAGTTAACTTTGCATTAAGGAAATGTAAATGTTGTGGTTTTTTTTTCTAATCTTCATGCCTCTTCTATTTCCAGGTCACTCTAACATTAAAGCTTTTCTTAGTCATGGAGGTTTGAACAGCATTTTTGAAACCATGTACCATGGGGTCCCGGTGGTGGGGATCCCCCTGTTTGGAGACCATTACGATACTATGACTCGTGTGCAGGCCAAAGGCATGGGAATATTGTTGAACTGGAAGACACTTACTGAGAGTGAATTGTATGAAGCCCTAGTAAAAGTTATTAATGATCCCAGGTATGGAATGAATTACTATTTCTTGCTTTTATTTTAAGATATTGTTACGTGTTAAATATGCATGTACAGAACCTTTATGCAAGGGAAAAAAAGCGTGCATTGGGATTTATGTGTACGGTTGGGACAAGTCTTCAGATGGTTGTCTTGTTTCACAAGATTACTCAATTGATCAGGTTTCCGTGTAGGTGCTAAGCTCATTGCTCAGCCTACCGAAACTCAGTTGTCTCATTTGTTTTTTGTGACGGTTGCCATGTGAAGGGCAGCAAGGCTATAGAGACAAACCTGTCCTTGTTCCATGTTGCAGACCAGTGTCTCTCTTTACGTGTCTTGATTACTCCATATTTACCAGTCTGTTTGTTGTGCTGCCTAAGGCGCTTGGAGCACAATACACCTATGCAATTGTAGGGTGGCATGTTTGGATTGCAGCTAAAAATATGGAGGTATTCTAAAACAGTAGCTTTTCTTAATAAAATCACGTGAGTTTAGAAAAAAGACTATTATTTTCCTGTTCTGGCCAGTAATACCTCTCTTAAGGTAAGGAGGGCCACTTGTGTTTGTTGCAATGACAATATTCTAACAAATTAAGGACTCCCATCTATTTTTTTGTAATTTTTTTGGTCATTCAGATGGAATAAATAGCCCGTGAACTGAGTTCTGTAACTGTTCCTAGTCAAATGAATTTTCTCGGAGCTATTAAAGTGTGAGGGGAGGGTCATTTCAAGTGTGTTACAAGTAGGTTTTAAACATCTGTGATGTTCAGATGATATCCAGATGAAAAAGAATGATGTTTTAGTTGGTGGTTTATTGTATTGGGCTAACTGCAGTTTTGGGGTACGTTGATGACAATACTACTTGCTTTCACGGGAGCCAAGACTTTCAAGTGGCACTTGCCTTGGGAAAAGAGAAACCTCTAAGGAGTGAGCAGCAGAAGCACAGCGAAAGGGAATGTTGCTGAACAGATCTTGATAACATCAGTTTCATACCCTTTCCCTTGTGCAATTATCCTTAGTATAAAGGCAAGTCCTGCATAAATAACCTGTTGACCTTGTAGCTGTGGCAGAGGAGGAGAAGGAATTTGACATGATCGGTTGTTGGGGATGGCCTGTTATGAAAAAGTTTTAGGCTTAACTCTAAACCTAGGTGGAGATAGTTTATTTCACAATCAAAACCGAATTTTTTCTTCAGTGTTTCTCTAGTCACGCAGTTGCACAAAAGCATGAATGAGTAGTGTCTTAGGGTATGTTGCCACTTCACAGTGGGAAGGGTAAATGTGTCTCACTCCGTAGGATTCATTTTGGATTAGATGAGATTCCTCTCTGGCAGCACGTTAGCTTGGCTCTTCATCACTTTGCTGGAGGGTGGATTTCTGCCTTTAGTCACACACAGGTCTGCTTTTCCAGTCATTCTTCATCAAGTAGCTGTAAGGACTGACTTAAAGACAGATTATCTGCTGTGTCTGTTCTTCTATGTGCTGCTGGTTGCCAGGGTCCTGTAGTAATACGCTGCTTGATCTGAAGAGGCTCAAGTTATGTTTGCAGGCTTGCATTGCTCGGAGCACTGATGATGATTTTTCCTTTCTTCCCTTTTCTTTCTTTCTCTCTTCTATGCAGCTACCGGCAGCGGGCCCAGAGGCTGTCTGAGATTCACAAAGACCAACCTGGCCATCCTGTTAACCGGACTGTATACTGGATTAATTACATCCTCCGTCACAACGGAGCGCAACATCTCCGTGCCGCTGTTTACAGCATCTCTTTCTATCAGTATTTCTTACTGGATATTGCCTTTGTTGTACTAGTGGGTGCTGCCTTACTTTATTATTCTGTGGCCAGGATGACAAAATTTATCCGCAAACAAAGCAAACATCTTTGGTCAAATGACAAATATAGTGCTGTTAATGGACATTGCCAGAATGGGATACCAAATGGCAAGTATAGAAGAAATGGCCACATTAAGCATGAAAAAAAGGTGAAATGAGCCAACCGCCCCATGTAAAGTAGTAATGAATCAGATCAGTAATCAAATTTTATCGCTGTAACTTAGTCTAACAACTACTTAAAACCTCAATAAGCAGTTCTAATACTCCCCTACAATATGTAATATTATGTGACAAAATTCTATGGAACTAAGAAAAGTCTTTAAAAAAAAAAAAGGCAAGCACAACCTAAAATGGAAAATATTTTATTCTTAGTACAGATGCAGAAAGGTTATTTTGGCACTGAAGTTTTTAGAAGCCTTAATTCTCTAAAGTTATACAATGACCGTATTTATGAATTTTCAGTTTTTAAAAGCTAAGTGTTTGTGTCCCAAATGAGGAGAGTTTTTTTATTTGCAGAGGTTTTTTCCTTTTATTTTTTTATTATTTTAATGTAGCCATCTTTTACCTGAGAGACCCTTAGTGCTAGCTCTGTTTCCTTGAAGGTTCAACATGTTGTGTAAGAATGCTGTTTAAAAAAAAAATTCCCAATCTTTGTGCAAGAAAGAGCAATTTGTGGACTAAGAACACAGACACTTCAGAAAAAAACATCTTGAAATGAGCACTGAAGAAAAATGGCAGAAATATGTACTCCTTTTACTGTTAAGCTGCATGACTCTTCTGCTCACTACCAGTACTTTGGAGAAAAGGGTATTGAGCAAGTCTACAGTATGTCTTAGTTTTTAATTTATACAGTTTTATTTGTTGCCTTTCTCCGCGTATATAATTTATGCCATGAAAATATTAGGGAGTTTTATTTCAGTTTAAAATATGACTGTGTGGGAAGTAGATTTGCATAATTAAGAAAAATAAATGAAACAAAAAAGAAAATCTAGCCCTGTGCGTCATGCAGGAGGCTTTGTAATGGCCCAGAGCTGTGCAGAATCAAACCACTACTGGGGGTTTGTTTTAAAAACAAACAGCAAATGCCCACCCCACACCTAGCCCCCCCAGGTTGAATGTCTTTCCTATTAATTCTCATTAAGTTCTTTCTAAATCGCAATGTTGTAGATGTTCTCTTTCAATGGTTGTATCTGGAAAAATATTACCTTCTGTTAGTCTGGGCCACGCAATCCATGTTTCACATAGTTGCCAATATGAATCCTCTGTGGGATGGGAGGCAGCCTTCCTGATGCAGCGTCTGATGGGACGCGCAAGGTGAAGCCTGGCCACCCAAGCGCAAGGTTTGCAGAGGCGGTCGTCTCCCCCTTCCCTGGCTACGGCCCCTCCCTGCAACAATCTCTTTCAATCATTGTCGCTGACACGGGACGCTGGTGGTGGTATGCACCAAGGGCGGGGATGCAGGGCGCTGGGCATAAAAATCATAACTGCCCTGCCGAACCAAAGTTGGCAACTATGCGTTTATTTCCATGTCATTCTGTTTACTTGGAATTTGCACTACACATGTTGTGAGTGTATGCTTTATTTATTTGTAGTTTGAAATCCCATGCCTGAAAGAGAAAGGAAAGCAACCCATTTACCTAGTGTTGTTCACTAACATGGGAAGAGTTGTGATGATTACAGGATGCTAAGATCATCTTCATACACGGTGATGCAATATTTCACTGTCATTCCATCAGGAGCCTCTATCCTATAGCAATAAATAACAGTACAGATATGTTTCTAATATACAGTACAGCTACTTGTACTGCTTTCTGAATACTTGAAGAAAATGGTATTATAAATAAGCCTATTAGCTATACCTTTTTACAATCTTGCAGTTTGTGGCAACTAAAGGAGCACATGGAGGCGATGAATGGTGGGATGGTAATAAGACTTCGAGTGTATGAATGACTTGGTTTAAATGGTTTTTTTTGTCATTGAAGAAGGTACAAAAGCACTGACCGGATGATTAAGCATAATTTAATCTCCACTGTGATAAAACTTAAGCAATAAACATGGATTTAATAGAGAAATTCTGTTGTTGGAAGTATATTTTTATTGAAATGAATGCTATGTATTATAAAGTGCCCTCTGGGTGTGTGTGTGTATACATGTGTATGCCTATTAGGATTTACAAATTCTTTGTTCTCAGTATATGCCACGATGCATGGTACATACTCAGAATCAAAAATTATATTTTTTTGAACATAGATCTGTTGCCTATAGAAGTGTTCGATGAATTGAAAGACCGAATGCCTAACCAGAGTTCTTTTCTTAGGCAGTTTGTTTTTTGGTTTGCTGTTTGTGTGTTTTTTGTTTTTGTTTTTTGTTTGGTTTTTTTTTTTTTTAGTTTCCATAAACATTCCTGGTAAAGTGTGTTTTTCTGCACCTTTTAAATTATACTCATTTCTTAGAAAGCAAAACAAAAAAAGACTTTTTGCAGTGATAGTAGATGAGATGACTGATTTTAAATATAGACATCCTTCAATTCAGTTGCATAAAGAGAAACTTGCTGCATTATTAATTTTTTTACCAAACTTCTAGATAGAGCTGATCCACCTAAACTATAGAAATACCCATTTTCTTCAACGTTACTTTCTTGTAAGTTCAAATATGATCTGGTTTTGTAGGTAGTTTTCATTTCTGCCCCCCCTGCAGTAATACAGGAACCTGTACTAGATGAAATGGGTGGATAATGCCACTGGTTTGGGGGGAAACATTTCTGCAAAACACGTCTGACAGGAGAAGAGTAAAACTGGTGCAAAAAGAGTCACTTGTGAGCTGTTGCTGGAGCAGGTGTGCAGAAGTCCCCAGGCAGTGCAGCACAGCTGTGTAACTTGCAGCCCTCATGCATCTTTCTAAATGGGCTTTGCTGCTCTCCCAAATACTGTGTGTATAAAAAAAAAAAAAAGGTAATTGGAGCAACTGATATGATAAAACAATTTGTGGGCAAAACTAGCAGCCAAGAAATAGGAGCAATAAGAACTATAGAAGACACATGCCACTTGGCATAAATATTTTCAAAGAAGCTTGAGACTTGGGCACTTGCCATAGGTTTTGGTATTCTGCCTTCTTACTGCCTCTTAATAGCTCAAGGATTCAAGAAGAAAGCAGCTATAAAAGTAAGACAGTTTAATTATCACATGCAGAAATAGGTTCTGGAGATGGTTATCAAGTATTCAGAGTTTGAGGAAATCAATAAATGTGCTAGCAGTTTTTTCTTACACCCCAAATCACTTGCAAAATCAGGTTTTTTTTTTTAAATACTATTCTGTGTTAATCTTTTTGATGTTCTTGAAAGATACCACCTTTCATGAAGTTGATTACATTCTCATTTTATCCTCTTGCATGGTAAGTGTGCTGTATTTGCTGTGGTTAGTCTGCTCTCTACACTTGTAGCAAAGAGACCCAATTAAAATATTAGTACGTGCATGCATACATTTAAGCAAAATATTAGCCCCCTTATTTCCAGGGTGCTGTTTTTCCACTTAATTTGTGTAGGTGCCTATAAGTAGATTTATGAAACTTAATACATGTGCACATGCATTGAGTCCAACTGTACAACAAACACTGCTGAGTCCACTGCTAAACCATGTCCCTAAGCACCACATCTACACATCTTTTAAATACGTCCAGGGGCGGTGACTCCACCACTTCCCTGGGCAGCCTGGTCCAATGCTTGATGACACTTTCAGTGAATAAATTTTTCCTAATATCCAAACTAAACCTCCCCTGGTGCAACTCGGGGCCATTTTCTCTTGTCCTATCACTTTTTACTTGGGAAAAGGGACAGATAGCCACTTAAGCACCTTTAATAAATTTGGGGGTTTTTTTGTGTCTTGACAAATGTATCCTATTTGCTTTGCTGTACAGCAGTAGAGATAGGTAGTGGCCAACCAGTATGACAGGTGTCATTCTTCTTTCCTGTGACATAATTTTTGACATAAAGATATTGTAGTTCTTCCTGCAATAAGGTCACACAACCTTTTTTAAGACGTGGTTTTATTTGGGGGTGGGATGTGTGTTTAAAAATAGATAAAACAAATCCCATACTTTACAAGAAACTGCCTGTGTTAGCTTGTGTATTGGGATAGTACTGTCAAACACTTCCATTTGTGGTTCCCTGGAATAGTAGTAGTCTCTGATTTCCGAGAAAGAAGGCAGTGCCTTCTTGGAAGGTTCAATTCTGTAAATATAAGAGAACAGTCTCTGGAGTTGTGTTGCTGCTCTTTATAGTCCCGGTGTCCATGTGTTACAGAACAAAGGTGAAGGCTACCCTATTGCACTTACGATTTGAAGAACAGTGTTCAATTTTTATTGACAGTTCACAAACAGGATGAAAGATTAGGAGGAAGATCTTGTGATGGGAACAAGAGGGGAGGAGGGGTTTTCCTCGGGGAAATTTCATGTTTGCCTTCTGTGAATTGTTTATTACGGAGCTGTATAAAGAAAACCAAATAATACTTTATTATTATTTCAGTCCATTCCAGGTAGAAGAGAGATAGCTATATTGAGGAAGACCATAACTGCTTCCTTTCATTTGGATAATTAAAACATTTTACTCAGGAATGCAGAAAAATAACTCCAAACAAAACCACCACCACCAAATCCCCCCATGTTGGTACCTGTTCCAAATCGGCACTGTGGACAATGATGGGAAAGTGTCACTTTGTCATAGCAGGCAAATGGTCCTGTAGTACAGGACAAAGATGCTAGAGTGCTGGTGCTCAGCCAGCACTGAAATCGGCCAGATTGTTGAAGGTATGTAAAAAAGGCATGTTTAAAAATACATGTGTAACTCCAGACTGCATACCGAGTCACGGTACTGAGGTTTTACCTATTTGATCACTATTGTTTATTATGCATTGATCAGAGAAGATGGTCGTAAAAGAAACAGAATTAATTTTCCAAGACAGCCTTTTGTCATTGTTTGGTAAATACCCCAAACCGGTTGAGGCTTATTTTATCCTAATGCAAATTATACCTTTCAGTTGTATAAAACTGATTCATCTAGGGGTGTGGGTGTGTTTGCTTTTTTAAACAAAAAACAAACAATGCTAAATGTTATTTACTTCATTGAAAAATAACAAAAATTGGAGCATGTCTGTGTTGGTATTCTCAGTTAGCCTGTAATGAGACTAAAATTGGCTAGAAATACCGTATCTCACATATGTTGAGGGGACAGAAGCTTGAACAATAGTTGGGGAAACCTCAGAGTATTTGCTGGAAGTTACTGTCTTCTTCATATGTTGCTTGTGGCTAAGAGGATACATTAGGTTTGTATTATTTAGGTATTATATACGAGCTAGAAAAAATTGAGTGATGGGAATGCTGAAACTTCCTTGGGATGTCATTGTGAGCCAGTTGAGGAACTGATCCTTACAAGAACAGCACTGAACATTTCAGCATGAATTGGGGAAATCTGGATTGAAGGATCTATTGATTAAAGTGTGTCAACTGGTGCTTGAACCATGAACAGCAGCCTTCAATGAGATTAGTGGTGCTGTCATGAAAGTACTGGTCTTTGAAAAATACAGACAAAAGCATCAGCTTGCAAACAGAGTGTAATTGCACTGTGTGGAGCATTAATTGGCTTCTTAATGTTAGTGTGATTATGTGTTAATGAAATAATTGTATGCCTAGGTGTAAGAACTGAGACTGGTGAGGAGCCATTACTAAAGCGAGAAACAACATAGACTGTAACTTTGCAAATGAGCATTTAGATTTTTAGCAGTCAAGTATCTAATCCACG